ATGTTGGAAGGAAGAATGAAAGTTGGAGGGGGGTGAAAGAGGATGTATGGTGGGTCAAGGTGGTATATTGGGTTTGTATTATGGGGGGTATTGTCTATAAAAACGAGGATTGTGTTTATTATTCAATGTTATATGCCCCGATTATGCACAGTACACATGTGATTGTATGGAATGAAATGGAATAAAGGAAAATGTACAACAATAAAAGAGATGATATATGCTTTGGTATGTCACAATACAAATACCACTTTCACATATTTTTTTTACAACCTATAATCCCTTACTTTGTGGTGGGATCAGGGAGATTAAGTGATGCTGAGCATTTACTGGCCAGATGCCCTTCCTGATGCCTAGATGGAGTTTGCGGCAGATATTTTCTCTTTGCGCCCTGATAGAGAAACATTTGAATTCTCAATTTACTGAGTAGCAGGTGAGCATCTTCACCTCTAGGCCACCATGTTGCAAATACTGCTTCAAACTTACTTGCATCATAATGAATGTTGTGACATTTTGTAGTCTTTGGAGCTCATTATAGTTGCCTATGGCTGCATGATTTGCTCTTTAAAAAGATTCAGAAAACTATTAGGGAAGTGGTGTTTCTGTTTGTTTTTGTTTGTTTGTTTGTCTTGTATTATTATAACTGCTAACTATTTTAGGACTAAATTTGTGTCAAAAGAATGTGTGACCACTAATCCATCTTGATAAAAAATGTAGTTTGCTCCATTGGGGCTTCATCCAAATCACATGACATAAATTGCTTGTTATAGTTGAAGTAATGTGGCATATGTTGAACAGAGTTGTCCTACATGCTACCTGAAACATTCCTCACATGGCAACCTCTTGTTGCTTTCTTGGTGGTACCCTGTTTTCCTGAAAATAAGACCTCCTTAGATAACAAACCCAATTGGACTTTTGAGTGCATGCACTAACATAAGCCCTTCACCAAAAATAAGCCCTCCCTGAAATATTGCAACACAGCAACAGCCATGAGGGGACCATGCTCGCCACCTCCTGCACCTCAAAAATAATAAGACCTCCCAGAAAACAAGGCCAAGCTTTTATTTCAGGGGTCAAAAGAAAACAAGACCCTGTCTTATTTTCAGGAAAACATTGTATATAGCAAATTGATGCAAATAGTATGGTGGAAAGAATTTTGGATTCCTGGGAGTGGGCCTGTATTGCAGAAGAATAAGAGACAGTGACATTTAGTTAGTTTGGTTGGGAGAAGGAGGGCCAGAGTAGCTCCTCCTTAGAAGTTATCAGAGTACATCTTTAATAATGCAAGCAGTTGCTTTAGTCTGGAAATATTTTTGTCTATACATAAAGAACAATAAAGGAAACTACTGAAACTCTGAAAGCCTTCCTTGGTTTTGGAGCCTGACATATAGGGAAGGAATGACACCTTCCCAGATTTCTTTCACCAAATACCCTGTAATTATGTTGGACTGCAATTTCCAAAGTTCCCATCTACTACAATTGCTGGAGAAATCTGTGTAAATGATCTATCACTTTAAGCAGAACCTCAACTTGATGTGCATTAACACATCAATTTCTATGCAGTACTCTGTGCAGTCTACTTGATACTACAGAGATCAAAAAAGTGCACTTTGGTTTGTGAGTTACCAATTCCAACTTCTTTGTGAGAAGAAAAAAATTCAGGCAGTAACACACAGCTCTTTTGTATAGCTATTTAAAAACTAAAAGAAACATCTATTAAACAAGAAGAAATGGATCTAAGTGAAGTTGTCTAAACTCCAATAGACAACTTTACTTAGTCCATTTCTTCTATTGGAGTTATAGAATCCACATCTGGGGGAAAAGGTTATACAGTACACCGGAAAGTTACTTGATTTGTAAATCAAGTTAATTTACATATGAAAACTGCAGCAAAAAGTATACTGTGGAAACAGAACAGAAAAACATGTCCTGAGGTCACTTTAAAGGAAATTAAAGTGGGTGGTATTGTCTGTTACTCCCTTCCAAAAGCATTTGCCTGTCCATTCTAGTGAAGGAGTAATTGGATAGTTTGATAAGTTATAAGCCATTGATTCTTGAAACCCATAGAGTAAGGTCTTACTAGCAGTATTATTGCAGCTTCAAATAAATTACAGCTTCCAACAGGCATTGGAACTAAAACCAGTGGGTTCGAACTGTAGGTTTCAAGCTTTTGGGTCCAGATCCCCCTGCTTTGTACTTAGGCAACTTTCTTTCTTTTTTAAAAAAATCAATTTCATATATACATTCACAACTATATGATCTCATAACTGTTATTAATAATATGTATTTATAACATTTTTCCCTACAGTTGACAATATACTTGAAGATTGCTTTCTTACCATCCCATAGATCCATCTTATCTTACAACGGTCCTACTTCTTCTTCGCTCCCTCCCTCTTTCCTTCCCTCGTTTCTTCTCTCCTACTCTCCTTCCTTCCCTCCTTCCTTCTCTCCCTCCTTCCCCCTTCCCTCCTTCTCTCCTTCCCTCCTTCCTTCCCTCCTTCCTTCCTCCCTTCCCTCCTTTCTTCTCTCCTTCTCTCCTTTACTTAGGCAACTTTCAACTTTATCAGATTGTCTTTTTGAAAAATGAGCATTTGCATAGACATATCTATCATTGAATTCATTTGATGAATTGGGAACCCTCTCACAGCAGCCATTTTATGGGGATGCACAAAATACCTTCTCAAAGTTCCAAGATACTCCCTGCCCCCCCTAAAAGTTTGAACATCTCAGACTTAGATTAAAGAATAAACAACAGTGTTTAGTAATTCACTACAGTTGGATTGGATCAATTACATTTCCATTTTTTCCAGGCTTTATGAAGAGGAATCTTTACCATTGTAAGAGTCAAGGGGTATAAACCAAAATGAAAGCAGATGAATGTCTCCAATAATTGTGATTTGCTGGCATATATGTTCTTTTCTGTGGATAGAGATGTTTAAGTAGCCTAAGCTGCACCACTTGATTTCTCTAGTCAATTGTAAATTGAATAGACTGAAGCATTTTGTACTACTTTTGATGCCACAAAAATTGCTTTCTTTCCAAACCAAATTTCAGTTACCCTATATAAAGAAAAGGGCTTCAACCTAATTCTCACTGTGTTTAAAGTTGAATATGTCAGTCCCTGGTGGGATAGAAATTAATATCAACTTGACATCTTAATTTTGTTTTTAAAAAACAAAGTGTTCATTTACTGGCAACAAGATTTTATATGCAAATATCTGGGAGCAAAAATCTCCGAGACAGATAAACGTATTACCTGTGCTTATAATTAAGTTGTCCATCTTTGAATGTGGTTACAAATAATTACTTGACTGTTTTTTTACAAAAACATGCTTATGAATTCAATGCCTTCAAATAGCTTAGTGCTGCATAACCAGCTTTTTATAACCCAGCTGTTTTGTGCACATTTTCCTTATGAGTTAGCTAATAAATGATCACTAAACTTTCTGATCACTAAGACAAGCAGAAAACTAAGAATGGTCTCAAATTACAAGTACAAGCCAAAGGAGTATAAAGGAATTTTGCACTGGATTTTCAGCAAATATTATGATCCGTCCTCCAGTTTCTGAGATTCATGCTTGACTCAGTATGAGCCAAATTTTCACCACAGTCTAAAAAGGGAATCACAAAGTACATATTATAGCTCAAGGTTCAATCAGCACCCTAAAATACAAATTGTAAGACATCGGTTAAAACAGTATAGACCATTCAGTTTTCTGAGATATTTCTTTCTTGTTTACTTACTGTCTGTGTGCTCTTGATCCATTCTCATGATGCAGAGAATACAAGGAATACAGGCAAGGCAAAGTCCCACTGCGACTGTTTGGACTTGTATTGTTTACTAAAAGTTCTGTGTTAGCAGCAGTTCAAAATCCCAGGCCAGCTCTTGCAACCACTCCCAGAGAATAAAACAATTTGGAAGCTGGTGATTAATCATCGGTCACTACGGAAATGAACTCTCAGCTCTGCAATGCCAGTAAGAGTTGCACTGATCACTACTTGGAAGGACATCCTGTCATCCTCTACATATGACATTGCCTTTAATCTGTGTTTTACTTCTATTCAATTTACAGAAAACTTTTAGGGTCAGTTAAAACCACTGTTGCATAAGTAAAATGTACTATGCTCCCCAAATGTATAGGTAGATTTATCTGTTTGATACCCTCTACTTTTTGGGTTTAAAAACTCCTAATTCCTATTCACTTAGGTATTATGGGAATGAAACAGCAATATATCAAGAGAGCAGTCACCAAGGAAGAAAAGACTACCTTTACGAACCACAAGGTAAAGGTGAAGATTGCACTCGCACATATGTGCTAGTCATTCCCATCTCTAGGCGTTGGTGCTCATCTCCATTTCAAAGCCGAAGAGCTAGTGCTATCCAAAGAAATCTCTTTTGTCATGTGGCCAGCATGACTAAATGGCAGAGTGAACAGAATGCTGTTACCTTCCCACCAAAGTGGCCCCTATTTTTCTACTTGCATTTTTATATGCTTTTGAAAACTGCTGGATTGGAAGAAGCTGGGACCAGTAACAGGAGCTCATTCCGTTACGCAGCACTAGGGATTGGAACCGCCAAACTGCTGACCTTTCTGATTGACAAGCTCAGCATCTTAGCCACTGAGCCACCGTGTCCCTTTTATGAACCACAAATGGACACACAAATAACCTAACATATGATGACAGCACAAGAGTTCATAGAAACAGGAAAATCAATTTTCATTCTGCACTCAAACTAATAAGAATATTCAGAAGAACATGGGTAAGTAACACAGTCTCTAAAATCCATTCCTCAAAATTTTTTAAAGCTTCTCTAGATCATTTCTACAAGGTTTCTTCTGTTGTGGTCTCTTTAGTAGGTGATGTGACAACTCCCCAATTTACTGCACAGATCTCTTTGGTGGCATCTCTCACTGATATTACTAGAAATGATCTTTGCTTTTACTATGTTTGTCACTGCAGATGCAGGTAAGCTTGGCTGGGCTGCTGTTCTCCTTCCTCTCCAGCTATCACTTTGTTCTTCACCTGCTCAGTCTTAGTAGAGATTTTTTCTAAGTAGAGTTTTTTCAATTTGTTCCTCAATTCGCTGGCAGACTTTCACCTTCCAAAAGAAAGCAACAATCTCATTTGTACCAGCTGCCAATAAGGGGAAAAATACCTTCTCTCTCTATTGAACTTCTGACTGTTCCTTTTATTTTACCGTCATCAGAAGATGGGTTTGTTTGAAAGGAGAAGTTCAAGGTCATGCTAGATATTGTCCTCTCCACACCACACTGACACATGTAGAGCCCTGGGCAATGTCTTGACTTTGACTTCTTTTTTTACTTTTGTTGATGTCTCTGAGTCTGTAGTGAAATCCCCTGTGACTCCTTCTACATAACACATGCACATCCATTCCATGTTTTGCCTTCTGCTCCTTCTGTGATTTTCAGATCATTGATCTATCACAATTTCCTTTGAAACACTATCTTCTTTTTTCTCTTCTTGTATTTCTGTTTGCTTTCCAAATTCTTCACTTACCACCAACAATTGATTTTTTTTTTTTTTTTTTTAGGATTTTATTGAGCATTTATATGCCGCCCTTTTCCCTGAGGGGACTCAGGGCGGCTTACAACAATGGGGGGAAGGGAGTGCAAGAAAGACTTAAAAAGAAAAAGAAACGTGAATAAAAGAAATTATCCATAAAAACACAACATTCACTCAACATTCGGGCGGGGTGAGAGTAATCCTATCCCCAGGCCTGACGGGATAGCCAGATCTTGAGGGCTGTGCGGAAGGCCTGGACTGTGGTGAGGGTACGGATCTCCACGGGGAGGTTGTTCCATAATGTCGGAGCTGCAACTGAGAAGGCTCTCCTCCGCGTAGTCGCCAGTCGGCACTGACTGGCGGATGGAATTGATTCACTTCAAGTCGTGATAAATTTGACTTTTAAGTGTCCTGCAATGGCTCCTGGCATCATTCTGTGCATCATTTGCCCATCTAGGTCTAAAAGTAAGCAAAAGCATTCACTTCATATAAATTCATGTTTTCTACTTGATGGGACAGCTGGAGCAAAGGACAGCGGATGATAAAAGATGTATAATGACATTTGCATCACACACAGGCAAGAATATAATTGTAGGATTTGTGATAATGTCATTAAATGTGTATCATTTTAATAATGTAACAGTTTGCTGATTTACAAGATTAAATAGCAGGATTGTATCATTTTGATTTATGTAGTCTTAAGAAAGCTTCAGTGCCTATTCTCTACCTTTGATACTCATACCTTGCTAAGGTCAACTTTCCCTCTGCTCACTCACTTTCTCACTCTTCTTTTTACATCTATTCCTACTTCTTCCCTTTACTTTTTCTCCTAACTACTCCACAGTCCTCATTTGAACTATCAGTTTATATCCTTTGATTCCTTCCTTGTCATTTCTGTCCATCATGTTTCCAACATATCTCTCTTTCTGTCTGATTCTTCTTTAATGTGTCCAATCATGCAATACTACCCCAGCTTTAAGAAATATCTTCATCTCATTTAGTTATTTGTAAAATGTATTGATCGCCCATCTAATCACAGGGTAACTATCTTTGTCCCATTTTCCCTCTCCAGGTAGTTTCAATTTTCTTTTGCTTTTCATTTTTGATGCTTGTTATTTACTCATACCATCTCAACTTTTTATTCTCTAGGTTCAATTATGATTCTATCTAATGGCATTTCCACATCTCTGAATTCTTCTTAATCTGCCACCACAACTCAATAATGAGTTGTAATCTCACTACATCTAAGAAACCTTCTATTAATCATTATTTTTATGCCGTAAGTTTCTGTATTCATGTTTTGAATTAGTTCTTCTTCTTATTGGACTGCATATTCAAAACTCTTTCTTCAGTTCAACTCTTTAAGCAGTGGATTTATTTATCATGGCTTCACTCTTGACTTTCTGCACTTTTTCTTTACTTTCTGTCCTTATCATTATATTATTCCCTCTTCTATATAAATATGTTGGTCTAGCCTTCTATAATCCATTTCCATACCTCTAACTGCTTTCTTAGCATTTCTGTACATGCTTCATGATCTTCAATTTATTTATTTATTCTACTTAGAAATCACCCATCTCCCTCATCAAATCACTCTATAGTAATAAGGAAAAATTTAATCTCTCCTCCTCCAGAGCTCTCTTCTTCTCATTCAGGGGTGAAATCTACTTACCTTCACTACCAGTCCGCAAATGTGAGCTTTTCTGCCTATACCACGTCTGTGCATGCACAGGACCTTCCACACATTTGCAGAGCATCAAAAACAGACATGATGATGTCCGGGTGGGTGGGTGGAGCCTGCTACCGAGCGCACCTGCTATGGTAAGTAGAACAGTGAGGGGGGAATCTGCTGGAAATCCTGCTTTCTAGCTAATATAAATTGTGTGGCACAGCTGATCATTGGAAATACCGGTTCGCCTGAACAGGTAGTATTTTTTACTCTTGGTTCGGGCAAACCAGTCCAAACTGGTAGCATTTCACCCCTACTCTGATTATATATTGACAACATCAGTACCAAGCCATGAATTTAAGTTTTTCTCTTCCTTAATCCACACATTCAATTTGTAGGCAATTTGTAATGCTGTTCTCTTAACATCATGGAAAAAGTATGAGAATTACTTAAGTGTATGAAAAACCATGCTTTTTAATGCCTACTTCATCCAGCTAAAAGTAGTGAATAAACCTTTTCTCCTGTTTGTAATTCCTGGTACTGGTATTTAAGATATACAGATTCTGAAAGTTGGGGTAGTAACTCAGAGCTGCTACTCATGGGCAATCTTATATTCCATTAAGTAGTTGATTCTTTTTTTTAAGCCACTAGCACCATCACCACCATTCACCAGTAGCAAATTTTATGAGACACAAAACACTACACTGAATCTCATTGCAATCTATTTCACTGGTTTATCTCAAAAGTATAAAAAGATAAAATGGAAATCAGATTGGTAGCAATTGTTTTTTCTGCAGATCTAATTATCCATTGAGGTCTGTGTTTGTCCTGTTTTGCAGAGCCAAACTAGACAGTTATAGAGGTGCAGATGACAGAGTCAATAATTCCTCTGTAGAACTGAATCAGCAGCTCTTTGGGCAGTTTGATCTTTCTGAGTGAGATCTACAGAAAAAATAATTGCTACCAATCTGCCTTCCATTGGATGTACTACACGAGTCAAAAAGAGGGCTTTGAAAATATCTACAGACTCCTCACATCCTGGACATAAATTGTTTCAACTTCTGCCCTCAAAACAACACTATAGGACACTACACATCAGAACAAGGACAGTTTTTTCTTGAATGCCATCATTCTACTTAACAACTAATTCCCACAACACTGTCAAATAATTTTCTAAGACTGTATTACTATTATTCTTCTCTTCCTTGCGAGTTTCGATCTCTTCCCACTTATGACTATAGCCATGTTGCTTGTATCTTTCAATTTATATTGTGTTATTTGTTTACTGGTACAATTTGATAGCTTATTAGTAACCTTTAGTACCACTAAGTGTTGTATCTTATGATTCTTGATGAATGTTTTTTTTATTTTCCTTATGTACACTGAGAGCATATGCACCAAAGACAAATTCCTTGTGTGTCCAATTACATTTGTCCAATAAAGTATTATACTTGGGGCAGCTGAAAAAAAGTGAAGCATCTGTTGTGTAAAAAAAACACAACTTCTCAGTGATATGAGCAGTGTCTGCTGTATAAACATCCTTGGATGCATTGCAGTTTGACTATACTTAACATTGTAAAGTTAAGATGGGGAAAATATATGCCCATCATCCAGTCTGTACATCTGAATTTCCTCAAGAAAAGTGTCATTTGCTATTTTTAATCCTAGCTTAGAATTTTATGGATGCTATTGCTGCTATCAGTGATTGCATTATACATAAGTATACACCTTATATTCTCCTGTTTTGGGATAATCAATTTTATGCAAGACAGAGAAAAACAGTTAGATATAGGAGAAAAAAAAAGATTAATTACAGAGAGAGGAGAGAAGAAAAAAGAAATCTAAGTAAATCTAATTATGGATTGGGATATTATTAATTTTTTTTGTATTTTGGAAGACCAAATTCATCTTGTAAAATGTAAGAAATACGTTTTTTATTATTATAATAATCAACAAATTGTTCAAACCTTACCACCAAAATGTGCAAAATGAAAGGAAATTATAACCGTGACTTTGTCAATAGCTATAACTCCATTGCCAGGTTTGCTGCAGTTTCTCATGTAGAAATTGCATCTGAATAACCAGAGTGGCTTCTGGCATCCCAACAGCATTTCAGTAAACAATAGCATCTGGTCCTCCTAGCAGTAATGCTTTCATTAATGCACCCTTTATTATTTGTCATCATTAATATGTATGACTTATACCGTACTCTTAGGGGGACAATTTGACACCACACTTCATTTTACTGTTTGTCTTTTTTTGTAGGTACCCTGGCACCAGGGCTGTGATTGACATCTGTAGGAGAGGAGAACATTATACGGTATTAGCAGACTTTGGAATTATGCACTCACATGACTTGCACATCATTCATTGAATCTTAATTAATGCTGTGGCAATGAAAAATCGGTTCCACCACAAAACCGCGTTCGACTAAAGGGCTCTCGACGAAACCGCATAGCTGACGTCATCACAGCGCAACAACAGCGCGGAGAAAAAAGCACGCTGTAAACGCTAAACTTAAAATTAACCCCTAAACCTAAACCTAACCCCCCTAAACCTAATCCTAAACCTAACCCTAAACCTAACCTTAACCTAATCCTAAACCTAACCCTAAACCTAACCCTTAACCTAACGCTAAACCTAACCCTAACCCTTAACCTAACCCTAAACCTAACCCTAACCCTTAACCTAACCCTAAACCTAACCCTTACCTTAACTTGAATCGGCTTGCTTTCAAAGCGCTATTTAAAGCGCCCTTCTTTCTCCGTGCTCGCTGTTGTTGCCCTGTTGATGACATCAGCGACCCAGTTTAATTGGGCGTGCTTTAGTCGAGCGCGGTTTTGTCGTGCCACGGAAAAATCAACACAAATATAAGTTCAGGTGCTACTTTTTCAAGAAACATTATAAAGGGTATTGTGCAATCCAAGTTAGTCTATCCACTAAGGAGGTGAAATAAATATTGAATAGTTGCATTGATCGGTTGGTGGGTTGCAAATCCTGGCACTACTGGTTCGCTTGGGCACGTGCGACGCTTCTGCGCATCTGGGTGGGTGGGCAGAGCCTCCCACTGCTGCCACTACTGGTTTGCCAAATCTGGCCCGAACCAGAAGCAACCCACCTCTAATCTCAAACAAGGTAATGTTTCTAAGCCTGTCATTCAGGCTCAGATTGATGGATTCAGCTTGTCCAGTGGATGGACTCCCATCCTGTTCATGTTGGAGCCACCATTTAAGGCAAATTCCAGGTTGAAAGGATTAGCCAGTAACATCACTGCTGCTCAGGGGATGTCTATGGGGGCTCCTTTTACATCCCCATCAGGGAACTGGAATGAATGACAGGAGCTCACCCTGCCATACAGCAGCACTCGAGTCTTGAACACAGGCTTGCTAGCCTACAAACCAATTTTTTAGCCCACTTTTACTTTTTGCCAAACTCAAGGCTGTGAACATGCTTCTTGCTCATGCTTCCTATTTTCCCCACATCAACAACCCTGTAAATTGATGGGGATGAAATGACTGGCCCAAAATCACCCAGCCATCTTTCATGACCAAGGGAAGACTTTAGCTTATGGTCATTTTCTATCCCAGCACCTTAGACACTACATGTAGTTGTTATCTGGCAACTGCATTGTTTAGCAACTGTTTACATTTATAACTGTGATGAAAAAATAACTTTATGACCACTTCTCATATTTAACACATTTAAAGGTCTATAAAACAGGTCTATAACACAAAAGAAAGCCGAAATAAGATTATTAGCACAGTTCCTTTTTCACTGGGCTTTGCTTAATGACCAAGTTGCTGGTCCTACTTGTAGTAATTAAATGTCGTAAAATGTGGTTGTAAGTTGAGGACAACCTGTAATACCATTTATCATATGATTGTATTTTTAAAAAATGCAAAATTCCTATGAATTTGCCTCTTTCAAAGACTAAAAAGGCCACTTTCTCCGATTCTGATCAAGTTATTTATGTCTTCTGTGTCAAATTATCCACATTTTATTATTGTGTGTCAAATGCTGTTAAAAATGTTACTTGTAAATGTCAGAAAAGTGCCACAAATTGTTCTTTTATGTTACTTATCAGAAATTGTATTGGATTATTGCAATTGTGAAAACTTGACATAAAAGGAAGAATGTAAATGCTTTAACAGAAATAATACATTTGAATTTCCCACATTGCCATCAAATATACATGGCTGTCAAATACCATAAAAAACTATACATGCCATGAAATATTATTTCACTGTGTGTTACTATGAAAAGAAGTAGCAATAATTCCCAAATGCAAGTAGTCCTTGACTTATGACCAATACTGGGGTCTGAATTTCTTTTGCTAATCAAGGCAAGTGTTCAGTGAGTTGCATCCAATTTTACAAGCTTTTTTTGCCAGTTGTAAAGTGAATCACAGCAGTTTAGTGAATCCCATGGTTGTTAAGCGAATCTGGTTTCCCCCATTGACTTTACTTGTCTGAAGCAAGCAGGGAGGATATATAACCTATACCAGGATAAACATTGAGCTAGAGATATTTAAAGAGCTTCATGGTAGAATGAGGATTTAAGCCAGGATCTCCCCAAGTACTTTAAACACTGGATATTTAAAGAGTGTATTTATTTTATTGAATCATTTTTGTATCAAATTTTGAAACCACCCATCTCACTCATATAATACTTTTCAACTAGTACATCTGCAAATGATTTTCTGGAATTAAGACCTGCAATCATAGGGTTTTTTTTTCTCCTTTGAAAACCTGATTAAGCAATTATGCTCACATCCTTAAACTTGTTCTAACAGTGCTATATAAATAGAACAAAACAAAGCAGCCTGTTACTTTCTGATAACATTGTCTTCTATTTATCTACTTTAGAAAAAGAGCAACATTTGGGGAAAACATTATTATTGCACCGTAAAATAATAAAAAATAAATAAAAATAACCAGACAAATAACATTTTTAAAAAGTAAGAAACAAGATGCCACGCTTTATCAAAACAGTGCTGAGATCTTTATTCATGGGATAAATGGGAGCTAACAAATAAACAGTGGAAAATGTTTGCTTTATTATAATAAATGTTCCGATATAAATCACAGCTCTTCACTGAGCTAGTGTTGACATAGAGAGGGTGTTGTGATTTATAGTTTGTTTAGTTTTAGAGTACTGCAACTGAAATACCATTTTGCCTTAAACAGAGAAAACCCACAAAGAAGATCTTTTGACATGATTGCACACGGACTTACAAAACATGTAGCCTTCTTATGGTAAGTCGGGATCTTGAAAAAGTAGAATGTTTAATAAAATACAGGGATTATCAAGTTCAGATTTTAAATTTACAATACAATTGGAAAGAGGGGGAAAGGAAAGGCCATATAGCCTTGAGAGTACAGAGTACAATCCTATATATCTGGAGACACCAATTTAGGAAAGGCAACATAACATTCAATTGCCCTATTTTTTTTTAAAAAAAGAAGATATACAGTACATATGATGGTATGTGCATTGATTTCTGAGATGCAGACACCACAATGCTGACTGGTGTAGAAGCCTGCCTATACAGCTATTTGTGGGAAAGCTTGCCTCTTACACACAACTCCGATGAGCAGCATCATTGGAACGCACAACTTATCCAGTGAATGCTCTGGATAGAAAAAAGAATGAATGGGGTTCACAAAAAGTATCTACCATGTTTTTCAGAATATAAGACGCTCCGGAGTGTAAGACGTACCTTAGTTTTTGGAGAGGAAAATAATAAGAAGAAAAAATTCTGCCTCTGCCTACCAGCATCCATGGTATTAAGCTGACACATGGTAACAAGGTCAGCCAATGAATAGGCACAGCAACTAAGTCAGCCAATGAGAGCTATTTGGACTCTGAAATTTGCTGTGTGAGCAACAAGGAGACAGGAAGGAGCCTGGCTTAGCCCAGAACTGAAAGTGAAATTGATTGTGTTTTGCTTGTATTTACTGCTACTTTGGAAAATCTGCTTTTGGTAATGTATTATATATTATTATTATTATTTTGAATCCTGCTGAATCTATTACTGTGCTTTCTGAATGTGATTGCTGCTGCAGTCTCTGACCACCCAGGTCAGCTTCAACATTTATTGCAGCCTGATTTAGCACAGCTGATTGGCGGATGGATCAGACTGCCAGAATACCCCCAATCAGCTGTTCTAGGCTGCAGGGATTGCCACAGACCATCGCTGCCTCCATATCTCACATTTTTGGCCGCTGGTGGTGGGGGGTGGGGTTACATTCAGTATATAAGATGCACCCAAATTTTCATCCTCTTTTTGGAGGGAAAAAGGTGTGTCTTATACTCCGAAAAATACGGTAAATATTTGAACTACAAATATGCTATTTCAAGGTGCATTAGAACTACTAGTTTCCTTCACTTTTCAGCTGATTAATGGATTAGAGACACATTCTTTTGGAACAAATAGTAACATCCTTTTTTGCATAGTCCCTGCCCAAAAATAATTCAGAGAGATGCTGTAGAGATTAAAAACAGGGAACAGCTTTTATAGTTTGATAGGGGACTGTCACTAAAACTTGTTCTTTTTCACAAGATTGAGCAGCAGCATTTTGCAGGGTAGTCTTCGCTGTAGACTTTATTCTCGTTGCCAAAGACATAAAAGGAGTAAGGTTTGCCTTTCCATTCGTATTTAACTTTTGTGAGTGGCACCAGCTCAACCGTTTGTCTCTGCAAAAGGGAAAAGAAAAGAGTTATATTTCTGAGATCATTTATACCCTCTTCAAATATGAACTCTACAATTTAGGTACTAGACATAAGATTGGCAATTAACAGAAAATAAAAAAAAGTTTATGTTTTCAGACCACTTTTGTCAAAACAACCAAGGGTTGGCTTCAAAAATTTTAGCAAGGGGTTCTCTGCCAGGTTGCTAGGTGGATGTGGCCATGGTGGATGAGGCCTAGTCAGCCTCCTGCACCATGGTGGGGGGCATTTTTGCCCTCCCCGGGCTCCGGAGGTTTTTTTCAAGCCTCCGGGAGGGCGAAAATGGCCTCCCCGGGGTCTGGAGGCCCTATGGAAGACAGAAATGGGCCCATTTCTGGCCTTCCCAAACTTCCAGTAATCCCGTTTTTTGCCATACCCATGCCTCTGCATGAGCCCTGCACTTACCTGCATCCAAAACGGGCCACGTGGGTACTCCTGGCAGGGGAGGGGTGGACAGGGCCAGTCAGGAGTGGGATTTGGGGGTTCTCTGAACTGCACAGAATCTTAGTTAGAGGTTCTTCAGAACCCCTGTGGACCTCCAGCAGCCCAGCCATGAAAACAACAATTCTGATGTGGATATGACACCTGTTTACAACTCATCTTGTTTTCTTTGGAACATCACCTTGAGAGGACATTACTTGTTTAGAACATATTGAAATAAAAAAGCTGCAAAGTATTAGCCCAGTGTATGAGTGCTGTTCTCTGCATATTTCCTTTTCCTTAGGAAACACATACAAAACAATTGGAATTTGATGTACATGATGAGATATAGGTCATTTCATTCCCTTAGCATCCTATATCTAGCTGGAGGAAGAGGAGAAAGGGAACTAATGGTTTGCAAACTCTGTGTTAATCCCAGAACCACGCCTCCCCATCATCCCAAAACTCAGATGTACTGAAATGAAATTCAAAATTGAGGATGGAAATGTGTGATGAAATGCTGTCCAGAGGAAGGGAGTGCATTCCAGAGGAGCAAAAGACAACACAGTTTAGATAGTTTGTGTGAGGGAAAGAGGGTGAAGATGGTTCCTGCCTAATAGTTCCCAGTATAAATGTTTTATGGTACAGGCAGTCTGCTTTTGTTTTGCAAGATAGGTGAGGAATAATAAATAAATCTGTTTAGAAGTGTCACAATTTCTTTGTTTTGGGGAACCTGACAGAAGGGGAAGAGGAGGCCAATCCTCGCAAACAAGCCATTTGTAGCCTAGTTTTGTTTTTTTAAGGGAAAATAGAATGGAAAGCCGCATGGTGCTCCTTAGGGGTTCTTCAAATAGTATCTCAGCAAGACTCCTTCCTATCTTGATCCTTCACTTCTTCACATCTGGAAGCTTGGTGCCAGTTTTCAATGGTTATGGTTTTAACAGATTTTTTTTTAACAGATTAACAGAGTTGGAAGGGACTTTGTAGGTCATCTAGTACAACCCCCCGCTCAAGCAGGAGACTCTACACCATTTCTGTCAAATAGCAGTCCAATCTCTTCTTGAAAGCCTCCAGTGATGAAGCTCCCACAACTTCTGAGGGCAAGCTGTTCCATTGGTTGATTGCTCTCACTGTCAGAAAATGTATCCTTATTTCTAGGTTGAATCTCTCCTTGATCAGTTTCCATCCATTATTCCTTGCCTGGCCTTCAGGTGCTTTGGAAAATAGCTTGACCCCACCCCCCCCTCTGTGTCAGGCCCTCAAATATTGGAACCCTGCTATCTTTTAATAGATATATGCATAATTTGTTTTATTATTGTTGTTTTAACCATTGATTCGGAGCCACCCAGAGTTTGAACTAAGATGGACAGTTATATAAATGTTTTCAATAAATAATGCTGGCTGAAATCATTCCCACATTACAAGGGGAGCTTTTGTAAGCCTGTGGAAAGAAGAGAGATAGAAGAACAATCCCTAATTCCTATACAGAGAAACCTGATGAATATATCTACAACCTCCAATTTTGCTTCCATGTAATGGAAATCAGTTCCAGTCAGTTCCCTGACCAAGCGGCTCTTTCACTATACATGGATGCAAGTATTATAAATTTAGAATCTTTGTCAGTGTGTAATCTTTGCAACATACATCAGTTGAAATATTATCTCAGAAAAACATGCTGGTGGAAAACTCTAGTTTCTTTTGTTTTGTTTTTAATTCTCATTGGTCCCCTCCTTTCCTTTCTACTTGTTGTTTAATAAAGGCAAAAATAAGAAAGAACAACAAATTTCTGTTTCCATACATAATTCACAAGCATGTAACTTAACTCTGCCAAAAACAGTTGGAACAAGTGTGCCTATTTTGGGGGGAGGGAGATGTGTTTATATCGAATGTCTCTATAATATAAACACAATTGAGAAATTAATGTAACATTATTTAGAAGAAAGAACAGCATGCCATTGTTTTAGTGCTTCAACAATCTTTAGCTCAGACCACTACAATTTGTGAAACGAAGAATTCAAAGAACATTTGAAAATTTACATTTTGGGATATTTTCAGGAGAACAGCTTTCACAAAAATTCAGGCCAACTTGTGGATTGTGACTTTCAGGTGCATTTTAAAATAAATATCAATGATGTTATCTAGTTTATGTAATCAAGCACTGCTAGAAAACAACCAAGCTCAGAGAGCACCAAGGACCCCTCATATTCTGAGCGACAAATATTCTCCTTTATTGGAGAAATAATTTCTTGATGTTTAGCACTATTAAAAGTGTGTCCTTCGCACTTCAGGGAAAAGGGCTTAAATAATAACTAAACATTATTTCTGTGTTATCTAAGGCTGACTGTGCCATGAGAAAAAGATGGAAATTTCCCAATTCCCTATCAAAGTCTTATGGAAATACCATGTTTTCCTGAAAAAAAGACAGTGTCTTATTTTCTTTTGACCTCCAAAATAAGTGCCTGGCCTTATTTTCAGAGACGTCTTATTATTTTTGAGGTGCAGGAGGCGGTGAGTGTGGTCACCTCATGGCTGCTGCTTTGTTGCAATATTTTCAGGGAGAGCTTCTTTTTGGGAGAGGGCTTATCTTAGCGCATGCGCTCAAAAGTCCGATTGGGCTTATTATCCAGGGAGGTCTTATTTTGGGAAAATGAGGGTAAGTTTTCATTTTAGTTTTTTTTTTTAAGAGGAAGTCTTTTGCCTCAAACGTTAGTTTGGTTCTTGAGCATTATGTTGTCTTAGAATAAAATATTGGTAGTGATACATTATTTATTTTTCTTTTTATTAATTGATTGATTGATTGATTGCTGGACAATGAAATCTTTTTGTAAAGGAGTATGGTTTTAAATGCAGACTTTAAATGCAATGGACAAAATTTGTATCCAGACAGCTCCTGAAATAATTCATTGTATATGAAGTAATCTGAATAGTTCATTAGACCTGCATTATTTCTATCACTTTCCATTATATGTGTCTTATTATGAAGTAAACAAATGCTGTTATTTATGTAATTTGTAGTAACTTGTGTCATTACATAAGTACATTATGCAAGTGACATAAACTGCCATAAATTGAGGCATATAATATAAAGTTAGATTATATGGATATTTGGGGGTTAAAAATACCCTATTTCTTAATGGTCCCTTAAAGTAAGATTTTGCTTTATTGTTACATTGCAGCAGTTAAAAATAAAAAAGGATAAGAAAACTACACTTTGAAAAATGCAAAAAAAAAATCTGATTGCAAAACATCCTGCAAAAGGAAAAGGAAAAATAATCTAACTCAGAATAATCTAAGATAAATTATTAGATAAATCTAAGATAAATTCTTCATCAACTTGAAATATCCCCTCACACAAATGTTTTCAAATCATATTGGGGGGAGGGGGACACCAAAAAAGCTGCTTAGTAAGTCAAGAAGGTTTTTAAATAAAGTAAACATGAAAATAATAAATGAAATGAAAATAATGCTTCATTTTTAAAATGCAGTTGTTCTCTTTGGCACTCACCTGTTTTAAGATCCGATGCTCACCTGAAGCAAACATCATTTTGTGTTGAGCAATGCTTGACCTTGAATAGTCTTTAATGGATAATTCTGGGAACTCAATTATGGGACGTACCTGGTATGCAGAGAAAGGCCACAGAACACACTTTTGCATTAGATTATTTAGCACTTTTGACAAAACTACTGTACATGACTGCATAGAACCATCAACTTTCTCTCGGTAAATGGTTGGAATTGTATACTAAAAAGCATACATCCATCACTAAAAATTTAAGAAAATGTAGCTGTGATTGTCTTATCTTTTTGTACAGAGGACATGAGTAGTCTAAGTCAGTGTTTGTTATTTTTGGCAACTTTACATATGTTGGCTAGGGAATTCTGGCAGTTGAAGTCCATACATCTTAAAGTTGCCAAGGTTGAGAAACATTGGTCTAAATGATTGCATGCAAAATTAAAGTATGCTTTTGGCCAGAAGCATGCAAATGTTTCCAGATTTAATCGTCAACATCTTCCAATCAGACTAGAAAAATTATCTCTGAAACATTGGAGCTTAGAGCTCAGAGTTGGGAATGTTGAGCTAAATGACTTGCTATTATACATATGGAAAAACTCTATAATGGACTAGAGAGATCTGTTTTGGGGTGCTTTAATAGATTCTTGAACTGAACAAGGGATTGAATGACTAATAAGAGCACTTTAGCACTATGTTCTAGCATTCTAGAGCAGTCTACATTCTATCTTCCAGTATTCTTTTATAAATACAGGTAATCCTCCTTTAGCAACTGCCCCGTTTAGTGAGTAACCGGAGTGACTCTTTGCAGTTATGACAATGATGAAAAAAAATCACTTCACAACCAATCCTCACATTACAATGATGAAAAATAATTTTATGACCAATTCTCATATTTATGACCTTTTTAGGTCTGTAAAGCAAAAGAACACTGTGATAAGATCATAAGCACTTTCACAGTTTTACGTAACTGTCAGAGTGCACACAGCTTTATGATGTGAGACAACCCAGGAGCAATAACAACAAACAGAGGTTTCTAAGAAATAGTTGTTTTATCTACAAAAGAATATATACTATGCATATAAGTACTATAGGCAGAACTCAATCAGTAAATTAAAGCAGGGAAGATCACGTGGCAAGAGAGAGATGCCCTAATAGGGCCTCTTCTTATTATACAGGCCCTTAAAGGGATAACAATAAAAAAAACCCAACTGACTCATTCCCATCATTACATCAGTGCGTCATTGCATCATTGTAGCAGCTGGTTAGCTCTTACATCACTACTCTGACAATAACAATCAATTTCCTTAACAACCAACTTGCTAGTCTCATTTATGGTTGCTGGATAAGAACCACCTATATATTCTTCCAGTAATCTTTGCATATATATTTGTGGATCTTACCAAGTTATGTTCATCACTAAGTATTTTTCTTCCAGTTACTTCCTGCAGATGGTAAATTGGGAGTTCAGATTTGTTGTCTGCTGTGTATTCTAAAATATTGTTCACCCTATGAGGGAGAAAAAGTGATATTTGCTTGTTAGGATGTCAATTTAAAGGTGAAATCGACTTCGTACACATAAATAAGTTTGACAAGATAAGATATAACTTTAATCTCATGTATATTTTCTAGATTTTATAGAGACATGTTGCAGATAAGTGCCTGACAGAAGTCCACTCTTGGGCTGTAATCCCCTAATTCAATTACTGGCAGTAAACCTCAATTAATTTAAAATTAGGGCAAGGGGATTGTGTCTGGGTAAATAATGTTCAGTAAACAAACATTCAGCTTGCATTTTGAATCCATTCCACAATGCATTTAGTTAAATGCCTGAATATATTTTTCTTCCAATGATTAAAAGTCAAATAAATAAAGAAAAAATGGTATTCCAAACTCTACTGAGGCATATTCAAGGAGGTATGTTAAAATATCAGAGCGTACAGAAGTAAACCACAAGGTCTGACTTAGTATTGGAACAGTTCCCCATTTTACAAAAAGAACATTAAACAGAAATCCTAACGTTATAATTTGATCTGATTTAAAGTGGCCTTATTTTAAGTCATAAAGGAATGCTATAAATTGGAATCTTTCCTAGTAGCAAATTACATGTGCAAAATACTCTGTAGTAAATAAACAAAATGGTTTATTAGAACATAGAATAATAGAGCTGGAAGGGACCTCAAAGGTCTTCTAGTCCAACCCTCTGCTCAAGGCTGGAGACTTCATATCATCCCAGTCACATGGTTGTCCAATCTATTTTTGAAAACTTCCAGTGATGGAGCACAATTCTTGGAGGCAAACTATTCCTCTGATAATTGCTCAGAAAATGTCTCCTTACTTCTAGGTTGGAGCTCTCATTATCAAGCATTCACCCATTTTTCTTGTCTGCCGTCAGTTGCTTTGGAAAATAAGTACAGTAAGTCCCCTCTTCTCTGTGACAGCCCCTTAATTATTAGAAGACACTTATCTTGTGGCCCAGACATCAAAAGTTTTGTGAAATATGGTCTTTACCCTACTCTTAACAATTTTCAAAGAAATAAAACTTAGATGAAGGGAGAAACTACAAAGGTAAGAGCTTATGAAATAGTTTTGCTTCTCCACTCTGGTAAAATATGTGTAATCCAAAATCTTATGCACCCAAGTATCCATGACAGGGGTGGTCATATTGGGGAATATATTACTGGAACAAAAAAGAGACATATGGCCCTTAAAGGCCTTCTTTCACGTACTTTTTCCTCCAGATGACCAAAGAGACTTACAACATCCTTTCTTTTGCTTTACATCTTACCATGTGATTGAAAGTTCTGTATGATATAGCAATACGCCTTTCCAATCGCAACGGTAACACATGTCCCGCCCATTGCCACGGCATCTGAAGCAACTGTGAAAGAGAGATCAATGTTTGAATTAGACCCTATGATATTATAAGTTTTCTTCACTTGGCAAACCGTAAATTAAATATCATCAACTTCGTCATTATCACCATAATTTTATTTCACTCACAGAGTAATCTAGAATAATGCAAAACTAAATTTTCCATCAGTAATTACATCAATGTAGAGTATAAAAGTGCAAAAGTTAAAGGTATTGGTGTCTATCACTATCTATCAATATCACAAACATCTAATATTATTAAATAGTATGGCTCAGTGATGGGATTCAAAAAAAAATACTACCGGTTCTGCATGGTGGCCATGGCATGGTTTGGTGGGTGTGGCTTGGTGGGCGTGGCAGGGGAAGAATACTGTAAAATCTCCATTCCCTCCCCACTCCAGGGGAAGGTTACTGCAAAATCCCCATTCCCTCCAACTCAGGAGATAGAGAATAGATGGGGGCAGGGGCAGTCAGAGATGGTATTTACCGGTTTTCCAAAGTACTCAAAATTTCTGCTACCAGTTCTTCAGAACTGGTCAGAACCTGCTGAATACCACCTCTGATATGGCTATTTAGAAAAGAATAGATACAATGTAAAATATAAAGTGTGGCAAATATGATAGATTTAACTTTAAAATACTGAAAAATATAAGAAATAACAAAAGCTTAGCATTAGTAATAAAACTATGAACATTATAACTTTTTGTTGTCAATGTAAAGACTCACCTTATTTTCTATTAGAAAAAAAATCAAAATCTCTAATCAGGACTTATGGGGTGTAAATGAGATTAAATTCAGTTATTTAAATTCATGTAACCCTATCACTTTCTTTTCAATCATCTTATCAAAAAGAATTATTTTATAATTATGCTAAAAAAAGGACCACTTTCCATTTTAGATAGCTGCCAAAGAACTTGATAAATATGGCACACATGCTGGGTTCATACAATGGTCAATCCTGCTTGTAAAATTCTGTGTTATCTATACTTCTGGAACAGAAAGAAATATTTCCTGCTAAATTTAAGGCTTTTTTCCATCTATGGCTTTTAAATTAGCATTTTTGTAAAAAAAAAAATGGCCTACAGATAATTTGATTTCAACTACTGCTGTCTACTCTTTCATGCAGCTGAACCATATTGGTTCAGCAAATTTCCCAGGTCAAAGTTAGCCCTCCTTTAAATCATTTTCACTAGGACATGATACAATCCTCCCATTTTCCCAAACCAAAGTGATAGCTTTCCCTATCTGCAACAGCAGCAGGGTGCAAAGCAGTGGTGGGATTCAAATTTTTTACTACCGGTTCTATGGGCATGGCTTGGTGGGCGTGGCATGCTTGGTGAGCATGACAAGGGAAGGATACTATAAAATCTCCATTCCCTCTCAACTCCAGGGGAAGGTTACTGCAAAATCCCCATTTCCTCCAGATCAGCTGGGACTTGGGAAGCAGAGAATAGGTGGGGACTGGGCCAGTCAGAGGTGGTATTTACCAGTTCTCTGAACTACTCAAAATTTCCACTACTGGTTCTCCAGAACTGGTCAGAACCTGCTGAATACCACCTCTGGTGCAAAGGCCATATGATCTGCTTGTGATAAATCAAGGCCTATACTAGGAAAGAGGAAATGGCAAGCCACTTCTCAAAAACCATGCCAAAAAACCATGAAGAGATTTCCCCAGGCAGTGTCTAAGAATAAAACATGATTGAACAGAAAGGGGGAGGAGAGAAATATACTATTCTTCCTAGTCCACTGATTAGATTCTCATTTCGCTGAAGAAATATTACTGCAAGTGATCTATTTTCATGGGGAAAGTGAATGAGGAGAAATCCTGAATGTTACACAATGTAGATATAATATATGTGTGTGTGTGTGTGTGTATATATATATATATATATATATATATATATATATATAT